TTCAATATGAAGCAATCATTATGATGTAAAATTATCATACTCAACATGAAACACACACACACACACCCACACACACACACACACGTACAATCAAGTCATCAATATTTTATGATCATATTATTTTGAAACCCTTCTCTTCACTCTCCCTAAAACATAAAAAGGTCAGGGGACTCGATATTTTATGGCCATAATATTTTACACCCCTCCTTCTTGCATTTAAAGGGTAGGGGGACTAAAATTAATATCTTATGGCCATAATATTTTGAATCCCCTCACTCATAAATTAAAAGGACAAAGGGGTTCAATATTTTTTGGCAATAATATTTTGAACCCCCTCCCTCTTAAATTAAAAAGGACAGGGGGGTTCAATATTTTATGGCCATAATATTTGGAACCCCCTCCCTGTAAAATTAAATGAACAGGGGGACTCGATATTTTATGTCCATAATATTTTGAACCCCTCTTTCTCTTAAATTAAAAGGGCAGGGGGGGGGATGGTCAATATTTTATGGCCATAATATTTTGAACCCCCCTCTCTCTAAAATTAAAAAGGACAGGAGGGTTCAATATTTTATGGCCATAATATTTCAAACCCCCCCCTCCCTATAAGATTAAAAAGGACAGGGGGGTTCAATATTTTATGGCCATAATATTTCAAATCCCCCTCCCTATAAAATTAAAAAGGACAGGGGGGTTCAATATTTTATGGCCATAATATTTTGAACCCCCTCCCTCTTATTGAAAAGGCAGGGGGACTCCATATTTTATGGTTATAATATTTTGAACCCCAATCCCTCTTAAATCAAAAGGGCAGGGAGGTTCAATATTTTATGGCCATAATATTTTGAACCCCTCCCTCATCAATTAAAAGGGCAGGTGGACTCAATTTTTTATGGCCATAATATTTTGAAACCCCTTCCTCATAAATTAAATGGATAGGGGGACTTGATATCTATGCCCATAATATTTTGAACCCCCCTCCCTCCTAAATCAAAAGGGCAGGGGGGTTCAATATTTTATGGCCATAATATTTTGAACCCTTTCCTTCTAAAATTAAAAAGGACACGAGGCTTCAATATTTTATGGCCATAATAATTTGAACCCCCTCCCTCATCAATTTAAAGGGCAGGGGGGCTCAATTTTTTATGGCCATAATATGTTGAACCCCTCTTCCTTTTGAATTAAAAGGGCAGGGGGACTCAATATTTTATGGCCATAATATTTTGAACCCCCTTCCCTGTAAAATTAAATAAGCAGGGGGACTCAGTTTTTATGGCCTTAATATTTTCAACCCCCCTCCCTGTAAAAATAAATGGGCAGGGGAACTCAATATATTATGGCCATAATATTTTGAAGCCCCTCCCTCTTAAATGAAAAAAGGGTATGGGATCAATGTTTTACAAGGGGGTTCAATATATTGCAGCGAAAAAGAGAACTTGGGTTCAAAATATTATGCGATATTTCGAACCCGGGTTCAATATATCGCGGTATCAAAATTTAATGCTACACCGGCAGATCTCCGGTACCACCGGTAGTCACCGGCAGTCAACAGCAATAATCATTGTCAATATAGGTTTAACAATAACAATAAATAATCAACATAAAGATATGACCATCATAATATAAAACATTCAAACAATATAACTCTTTCCTATTAATATCAGATTTTGATAAAAATGCTAAGTACAGAGAAATTACAATTAGAATCGGGCGTGATATTCCACAAAATAATCATCATGATGGCGGTATCTATAGATAAAGTTTCAACCCCTCCCTATAGTTTAAAAAAGTAGGGGGAATCGATATTTGATATCCATAATATATTGAACCCCTATATCATAAATTAAAAGGGCAGGGGGACTTTACATTTTATGGCCATAATATATTGAACCCCCTCCCTCATAAATTTAATGGACAGGGGGTTCAATATTTTATGGCCAGAATATTTTGAACCTCCCTCCCTCTTAAATCAGAAGGGCAGGGGGTTCAATATTTTATAGCCATAATATTTTGAACACCCTCCCACTTAATTCAAAAGGGCAGGGGGTTTCAATATTTTATGGCAATAATATTTTGAACCCCCTCCCTCTTAAATTAAAAAGGACAGGGGGGTTCAATATTTTATGGCCATAATATTTGGAACCCCCTCCCTGTAAAATTAAATGAACAGGGGGACTCGATATTTTATGTCCATAATATTTTGAACCCCTCTTTCTCTTGAATTAAAAGGGCAGAGAGACTCAATATTTTATGGCCATAATATTTTGAACCCCACCGGCTTAAATCAAAAGGGCAGGGGGGGGGGGTTTCAATATTTTATATCCATAATATTTTGAACCCCCCTCCCTTTAAAATTTAAAAGGACAGGAGGGTTCAATATTTTATGGCCATAATATTTCAAACCCCCCCTCCCTATAAAATTAAAAAAGACAGGGGGTTCAATATTTTATGGCCATGATATTTCAAACCCCCCTCCCTATTAAATTAAAAAGGACAGGGGGGTTCAATATTTTATGGCCATAATATTTTGAACCCCCTCCCTCTAATTGAAAAGGCAGGGGGACTCCATATTTTATGGTCATAATATTTTGAACCCCCCTCCCTCTTAAATCAAAAGGGCAGAGAGGTTCAATATATTATGGCCATAATATTTCTAACCCCTCCCTCATCAATTAAAAGGGCAGGTGGACTCAAATTTTTATGGCCATAATATTTTGAACCCCCTTCCTCATAAATAAAATGGATAGGGGGACTCGATATCTATGCCCATAATATTTTGAACCCCCCTCCCTCTTAAATCAAAAGGGCAGGGGGGTTCAATATTTTATGGCCATAATATTTTGAACCCCCTCCCTCTAAAATTAGAAAGGACACAGGGGTTCAATATTTTATGGCCATAATAATTTGAACCCCCTCCCTCATCAATTTAAAGGGCAGGGGGACTCAATTTTTTATGGCCATAATATTTTGAACCCCTCTTCCTTTTGAATTAAAAGGGCAGGGGGGACTCAATATTTTATGGCCATAATATTTTGAACCCCCTTCCCTGTAAAATTAAATAAGCAGGGGGACTCAATATTTTATGGCCTTAATATTTTGAACCCCCCTCCCTGTAGAATTAAAAGGGCAGGGGAACTCAATATATTATAGCCATAATATTCTGAACCCCCCTCCCTCTTAAATGAAAAAGGGTATGGGGTCAATATTTATAAGGGGGTTCAATATATCGCAGCGAAAAAGAGAACCTGGGTTCAAAAATATATCGCGGTATCAAAATTTTATGCTACACCGGCAGATTTCCGGTACCACAGGTAGTCACCGGCAGTCAACAGCAATAATCATTGTCATTATATGTTTAACAATAACAATAAAAAATCAACATAAAGATATGACCATCATAATATAAAACATTCATACAATATAACTATTTCCTATTAATATCAGATTTTGATAAAAATGCTAAGTACAGAGAAATTACAATTAGAATCGGGCGTGATATTCCACAAAATAATCATCATGATGGCGGTATCTATAAATAAAGTTTCAACCCCTCCCTATAAATTAAAAAAGCAGGGGGACTCGATATTTAATGTCCATAATATATTGAACCCCCTCTATCATAAATTAAAAGGGCAGGGGGACTTTACATTTTTTGGCCATAATATATTGAACCCCCTTCCTCATAAATTTAATGAACAGAGGGGTTCAATATTTTATGGCCATAATATTTTGAACCCCCCTCCCTCTTAAACCAGAGGGGCAGGGGGTTCAATATTTTATAGCCATAATATTTTGAACGCCCTCCCACTTAAATCAAAAGGGCAGGGGATTTCAATATTTTAAGGCAATAATATTTTGAACCCCCTCCCTCTTAAATTAAAAAGGACAGGGGGGTTCAATATTTTATGGCCATAATATTTGGAACCCCCTCCCTGTAAAATTAAATGAACAGGGGGACTCTTTTTTTATGGCCATAATATTTTGAACCCATATTTCAGAGTTAGAAACGATATTTGCAACAAATCTATAGCGTATTACAATAGTTATATTCATCCAAACACTAGGCAGGATGTGTATTGATGAGGAACATAAATTATTTTAAAATTATTATTTTTTTTTTATTTATTTATTTATTTTTTCTCCTTCTTCTTTCTCAATTTGGTTTATCTATGTCTGTGTGAATTTTTAATTTTCTAATCTTTCAAATTAAATTTTTATCGTTTTTTTTTTTCTTATTTATTTATTTTTATTATTACTAATAATACAATTACATGTAGTTATTTTTAATCTGAATTTTTGGGTTAAACGTAGTGCTTAATTTTTATTACTATCATATGACTTTTATTTATTTATTTATAATACTCACGTTATATTTATTTTTGTTCCTCTTACACTGTAATGCAATCATATTGCTTTTCGAATTATCTATTTTTTTTTTAACTTATTCTAAAGAAATTATAAATTCTTAAAATTTGTTAAATTCTTAAAACTCGTTTTATCCGTCATATGTATATGTATATATATATACATGTGATTTTGCATGTTTATTTATGTTGTAAATTTTTCTTGTGATATTTTACTGTGATAGTCGGTTTAAGAGCTCCATGCACAGAGTTCATGTTTCTTGTTATGTAATGTATACAATGCCGACGTTAAATAAAATTTACTTACTTACTTACTTACTTACTATCCAGGATTATAAAATTAAAATCATAAGATCGTTCTCTTCTATATATGTAAGTACAGTGCGTGATAATAAGAAATTGAACCATTTATACGGTCTACATCTAATGGGGGAAGAACAATGTTCAGTGTATCACGAGTTCTATATAGTACAATCTGCAACATTGTCACAATCGTGACATAACTAAGACACCATGCAGAGTTTGCCAAGCTTAGTTTGGGATGGCTTAATCAAGTCCAAGTCAGAGTCAAAAATGCTATAAAACAGGAGAACAAAAGTAGCACTATGTCTAATATTTAATAATTCTATTTTTAAGGAAATTTGCTTGACATGCACATTGACCATGTGCAAGCTTCCAAGAGAAGTGACTTCAGCACGATCAAGTCAACGTTTGAGCAGGTGATGAGGACCCATTATCCTGGTGCTGTGGGTCACATCGCCTTTAGACTGGTATCCTGCCCTCAGATCTGTACAGAAACTGTCAACCTTCTTGCCAGGTGAGTCCAAAAGGAATAACTAAAATATTCCCTTATTTATATCAGCACTGGAACATAATTTATGTATGTTTTGTATTCAAAATATGGATCATGCCTGCACGTGTACACACATTTACACTCAATATTTTCATTGTTTGTTGAATTTCATAAAGATTTCACTGCTCACTATACGAATTCAGAGTTTTCAGAGATAAATATCCATTTTGAAAAAAAAAAAAAAAACTATGTACATATGTATTGCATATTCATGAATAATTTTTCAAAGAAATTGTATTATACTAGTAAGTTGTTTTGTCTAGTAAATGGACAGTTTAAAATGTATTTATTTCAGCCTCAGTCCTTATGGATATGATTCCCAAACTCCAAAGTCCCAGGAAGCATCATTCTGGACCCAGGATTTCGTACCTTTGGGAGCCATTGCTTTGTTTGCATCCTCTAATCCAGATTATCATGAAAGTGTCAATAAAATGGTGACCAAGGCCAACCTGGTGTACCAGGATTTCCTCAGCTCAGGGGAGGGCAAGGGATTTAATGGGCAGGTAAGACATAACAATGACTTTATTTGGCAGGTAAGGCATGGCAAGGGATTTAATGGACAGGTAAGACATGGCAAGGGATTTAATGGGCAGTTTAGTCATTTAAGGTAAGTCACTCGTCAGCTTTTTAGAAATGTTCACGCAGAAGCTTTTACTTCAAAACTACTTTTTAAAATTCAATTTTAATAACATATTTAAATTCAACAATGTAAATTTTTTAAAATTCAATGAAAAACCTGCTCAAAAATCTACAAAGAAGCAAGAATTATGAGGGACTATTTCTTTTGGTGGAAGGATATTTAGCAGAAAATTCTGCAAATCTGCACATGTAATGGAAATTTAGCCTCACATACTTTTACTCGGAGAATATTTTCCGTTTTGTTATTGCTAAAAATATTTAATATAGGTCTTAATTTATATTTTAACACTAAGTTTTACACCTTCCCTCAACAAACTTTTCCAAAAAATAAAAATATATTAAAGAAGTCAAGGTCAAATTTACACCATTTTTTGCCTGAAAATCACATATTTTGACAAATATTTCAAAATTTACATCACTGACCCCACCTTTTTCTTTCATTATTTTAAACTACTCGATACTTGTGACTGATCAGCGCTCAAGTCGTAAAAAGTTTGATATAAGAAATTTTTCTATTGCCTATTAAGTTTTTTAATACCCCAAATATTTTTTTTTAGTGCAAAAAGGTCACACAATAATTTACGCGAATTAATTTGCAAGATTTATTTAATGATAAATATTATTCAAACTATTTTACGTAAAAGTAGATTAAATTTATTGCCATGCTTACATCTAATCAAATATAATAAGGGTTAAAGTAATTAACCAAAGAGATGAAATTTAAGTGCAAAAAGGTCAACTTAAATGTACCGTAGATCAGTAGGATGCACACTGACCCCCTATTTTCTTTGCCATTTTGAGTTACACTTTATGAGTACTTATCCAAAATATACTTCTCAAAAAATCCTTGATATAACAAATTTCAGGAGTGACTTACCTTAAAGGGATTTAATGGACAGGTAAGACATGACAAGGGATTTAATGGGCAGGTTAGTCATTTAAAGGGATTTAATGGACAGGTAAGGCATGGCTTGGGGTTTAATGGGCGGGTACGGCATAACAAGAGATTTAATGGATAGGTAAGGCGTGAAAAGGGATTTAATAGACAGGTAAGGTATATCAAGGGATTTAATGAACAGGTAAGGCATGACAAGGGATTTAATGGACAGGTAAGGCATGACAAGGGATTTAATGGACAGGTAAGGTATATCAAGGGATTTAATGAACAGGTAAGGCATGACAAGGGATTTAATGGACAGGTAAGGCATGACAAGGGATTTAATGGACAGGTAAGACATGACAAGCGATTTAAGGGCAGGTAAGGTATATCAAGGGATTTAATGGACAGGTAAGGCATCACAAGGGATTTAATAGACAGGTAAGGTGTATCAAAGGAATCAATGGACAGGTAAGACATGGCAAGGGATTTTATGGACAGGCAAGATATGACAAGGGCTTTAATGGACAGGTAAGACATGGCAAGGGATATAATGGATTGGTAAGACATGACAAGGGATTTAATGGACAGGTAAGGCATGACATGGGATTTAATGGACAAGCAAGGTAAATCAAGGATTTAATGGACAGGCAAGACATGACAAGGGATTTAATGGACAGGTAAGATATGGCAAGGGATTTAATGGATAGGTAAGACATGACAAGGGATTTAATGGATAGGTAAGGCATGGCAAGGGATTTTATGGACAGGTAAGGCATGACAAGGGATTTAATGGGATTTAATGGACAGGTAATGTATATCAAGGGATTTAATGGACAGGTAAGACATGGCAAGGGATTTAATGGACAGGCAAGACAAGACAAGGGATTTAATGGATAGGTAAGATATAACAAGGGATTAAATGGGCAGGCAAGGCATACTTTTACCGTGTACATGCAAGAAGTCCATGCTTGATTATTGATTTTTTTTTTCTTCTCAGCTTAATGTGTACTGTATTTTATTACTAAGCATCCTCCCCCATGGAAAAGGTAACGTCATATTTCTATGACATGAACATTAAATGTATGTTGTGTCACATGCAGTTCAGTAAGTAGTAAAGAGTTTATGAACAGGTAAAGAATGTAAGGGATTTAATGGACAGGGTAGACATGACAAGGGATATATTGTTGAGATGAAAACAATTCATTATGGTAAGTTAGAGTATGGCTAGGGATTTCATGAAAAGTAGATAGGAAAGTATTCCTTAGATCATTGGATGGGTGATATGATAAACAAGAAATGATAATTTTGTATGAGAACAAGAAAGATAAAGTAATGATTGTTTCATTTGTGGCAATTGCCTGTGAAAGTTTTTAACCTTTATAATTGTTTGCTACAGGTGTGTCTGCTGGCGGATTCCACTGGGTCCTTGATGGCATATGATGCTCTGACAATGTCTGGTCTTCATTTCGGGAGAGGAATGAGTACATACAACAGTAACAACAGTCTAAATGAAAGTGACCCTGACCTCTCTAAGTGTTGTGACCTCAAAGACCGTGTGTGTAACACTGTAATGTCTGACAAACAGTTAAATAAGAGTGACACACCGTCTACAGACTATAAACTGCGGCAGCAGAACTCGACCCAGAGACAGTCAGGGACCAACCTCCATGTTAATGAACCACCGGAGCATGTCAGACGCACAAGCACGGGGAGTAACTTTGATGGAACTTATCTAAAACTGGACTTTGAGGTGTCTGAGTTCTTTATGTTTGGTGCCCCTCTGGGTCTTGTGCTGGCCTATAGGAGAATGACCATGAGGGAGGATGCCCAATCCCAAGGTCCCATGTGCAATCAGGTGTATAATTTGTTCCACTCCAGTGATCCTTCGGCGGTGAGACTGGAGCCTCTTATTCACGATTCATTCAAACTTATTCCACCTGTAAAGATCTCAAGGTACAACAAGTTTCCTTTAGGAAATGGAGAACCTATCAATGTAGGTAGGTATATTAACTATCACAATCTACGGTAATCCTACCATTGTCCACTCTCAGTTGATACTCCTTTATCAATGCAACCTACATAGGACATCATACTGAGTAACTGGACATAATACAATTGCACTTTTAGACATATCACCCTTTTATCAATGTGTCATTAACCCTGTTCTGAAAGAACAGTGGAGTTACAGTGGAGCCTCATTTATCCGGACGCTTTGGTTTCTAGTCAATTTGTCCAGATATGTGAAGCCCCTGGATACCTGAATATTCACTTAAACAAGACAAAATAACCAAAAATTATGTTCTGATAAAAAATAGTTCGAATAATGAAGCGTCCAGACATCTGGTGTCCGTATATCTGAAGGTCCACTGTACTAATCAGAGCTTGTTTACACACAAGAACCCGTACGAAAGTTCGAGGCGGAACAGGCACGGCTTGGGCACGGCTAAGACATGGAATCCGCACGGGATTTTAAAAAGCCGCACGGCTTCTGCATGTCCAAGACACGGACATGGCTTCCAGTGTCTGAAAGTGAGGAATCCTCACTCACAGAAACGCAGGGGGAATAAGGAAGCATACAAAATATTCTACCTTGACTAAATCAGTGCTACATTATGACGTCATAGTAGGCGAGATGACGTCAATTTTAGAACACAAGTTTTTTGTAATGTTGGTATTTAGAGATCTAATTTAGCTCTAGAAAATGAATAGATACGTGTAAACATTAACAAAAATAAAATGTTTTTATTTCGTTATGATGTATTCTGTCATTTTGATTAAAATCTACAACCGATGACGTCATATGTGTACATCAAGTAACTTGGGAATCGATCGGGAATTGATCATGTCGTGTAAAGAGAATTTGGCTCTGACGGCATGAACAAAGATACGTAAAATGGAGTTTAAAAGCAAATATCGTGAATATTTTGTGAAATTCATATGGAGTTCAGTTAATAAAACAGGTATGCTTATCTATATTTATCGATAATACTCTCTGTAGAAGACAGTCAGCTATATACGTATCCCGGTCGGCCTTTCCTCTGTCAATTGTGACAAAAATAATGCAACAGAACAACAATAAGCTGTATATTTCAAAACATAAAATTTGTACAGATGGAAAGTTTGCATCCTAAAATACTTGGAAAGTGCTGCTAGAATCCCGAGTTAAGCATGGTTTTACGAAAAATCTCGGTTCAAAGGTAAAAAATTCAAAACATCGGTTAAGGTTTCGTGCGAATGTGTGGAATAATTATTTTACTGACAGGACAGTGGGATTCTAGCAGCAGTTTTAAGACAAAATAGATGTTTTTCAACTACATTATTTACTCAAACAAATTATTAAACTCCGGGGTATTGTTGTTCTGTTCGCTTTTTTATTAAGGAAAATTTTGCTATTAATAGAAGTCACGTGATGCCGTGGTGGTGCTGCACGTCGTTGCGTTAGATACTCTTTTATCTTTATGCAATAGATAATAATAGTTTACGCTTATCAGCGGTTTTGGTAAATTATAAAACTAAATTTTCTTTAAAAAGTCTGAATTTCCCGAAAAATGACTTATATGCTTCCTTAACATACCCGCGAACCCGTGTGGAGGCACGGAATCCGTGTCCCAGGGAGACGGTTTTTAACTCGGGCGGGTTTTGCTTTAAACTATTTATTTATATCTCACAGCTTTTTATTGAGCATGCTCAAAGATAACTTCCTTTATTTGAATATTAAATTGGAGGGATTCATGGTCATGAGCTAAGTCAATGTGTCTTTTTGCTCTATTTAAAGGATATTTAAATAAAAAAAAAGTTGGAATTGTATTTATGTCAGTCTGGGATGATTTCTTCCCTTTTGAACTAATGTAAATTTTCATGATCTTCCTGTATTGCGATGTTGACAATGAACATGATGAAATAGTTTAGGTTGATTTGAATGACTTTAGTTGGACTTTCACTATTCCTTTATAGTATATATTTTATGTGACATCACTGTGCTAGTGAAAGTTTTATTCAAAGTAAATTCTTTCACAGATTGTGCAGATCTAGCTACTAGATTAAATTACAATTGAATATTGTACATTATCATTAAAATCTTTATTAAAAACTAGCATGGATTGTAAACTGATAAATTTAATCCTTAACAGAAATTAAATGGACACATTCATAAAAGATTTTTAACTTCTCAAATTCTAAAACTAAGCATTAATGTAAAGCAATGTGAAGTTTGTTTGGTTTCAGTCACCATTTTGGCATCCACAAGTACATCAGGGGATTCTCTAAAGGACAAGACCTAGATTTAAACAAATGCACAGATCCCGTGACTCCTTATATGGTATATGGCACGGCTTTTTTGACAAGGGTTTCTAAAAAAAACGTGTCTCCATAAATGGAAAAGGACACGGGTTTCATACACGGGTTTACAGAATCCGTGAGTCCATATATGGAAACAAGCACGGCTTTCTGACACGGGTTTTGGAAAACCGTGTGATCTCATTTAAATATTTCGGCCAATATCCCGTGCCGTGTCCGTGCCTTGACCACTTTTAGGCACGGCTTTCCATACATACTTTACATAGGAGCACGGAATGCTAAAGCACGGGTTTCTGGAGACGGAATCCGTGCCTGAGCCGTGTCGAAGCCGCTCGGACTGTTTCGTACGGGAAGCTGCAGAGAATGACATTTTCTGTCTACAATGTGGATTGTTTTGTACATTATAGTGGAGACGGTACAGAGTAACCTGAATTTGTTCACCAACCGTCACTGTTCATCAGGTCCTCCGTTACAGAGACAGGGAAGCATTACTAATAACATATCTCAGATGTCTGGATTAGGAGAGTCCACAGTCTCCGTCATCACCAATGGTCAGTATTGAATTACATTGTATGTTCATTCATCTTAAACAGGTTGGGAACACATCCCCTTTAGCGAGATCATCTCGCTAAAGCGCGATTATCCCTCTGTACATAGCGGGAGAAAATACATCTCGAAAAACCGAGATTTGTACACTGATTCAAACTGTAATCGTGTTAACTTCTGAAAAAGGAAAATCCGGGAGTATGTTAACCCATTCGATAAATATTTATTGTCTCATTTCAATAAATTTGCTTCAAAATATTGTCTCTACTGCTGCAAATCATGGAAATTAGAATAAGTTGATGAACAATAGCGTAGCCTTCCTACGGAGGGCCACAGGTGATAATTATTAGTACAACAAAACTTACTTCGGTTATATGGTTATTGTTATTGCATTTTTACCTTTTTTTTTTAATACTCCTGCTTGAAAAGCGGGAGTATATACAGCATGATATAGTGATGGGGTGTCCGTCACTTTGGACTTTCCACAGGGCATGACAATCTCGACACGAAGTCTGTTTGCTGACCTATAAATTCTCAAATCGCCTGATTGACTGATATAAAGTCCCACCTTCTTACTGTAAGAAGCGCACTCATTGGTTCTTTTCTACACTCGTCAGAGTTTCCAGGATCTTCTAACAGATACATGTATATTAATTTTTCTGTATATTTTACCCGTGAAAATAATATGTTCAGTGTTAGTTTTAAATTCTCGTCCTACGTAAATTATTCAACCCTAAAAATTATTTTATCTTATACTATTGCACTGTCTCGAACTTTGCAAGTTATATTGGAAACGTGATATTTTAGACGGCTAGAGATGGTACATGTAGATGGACGGATGGGGGGGGGGGTACTAGACACAAAGGTAGGCAGGTAGATAGGTTGTGCGACTAGATTTCTTTAAATGTATCATATACCAAGACTCTTGTCAGGCATGGTAAAAGCTATCGACATAACCATTTTTAAATCTTTACCATTTTAATTGAACGTCTTATCAGTGATCAATTAAGACTCGATTTTCTAATAAGGAAGCTATTAAAGGTGGTAATAGCCTCTCTTATTAACTCAGTAAAACAATTACAACGTATAATAAAATGTAAAATTCGATGTATTTCATGCAATGTTCGTAGATATTCTTTCAAAATAAAGAATGTCTTTACCAGTATTCATCTGCCGCCAAAATACGGCTGAAATTTTGCCGACTCGGCATTTAACAATAACAATCAACACTTTTAGCTTTTTTTTATTTATTTGATTTTTGGGGGCAGGTTTTTCAGAAGCCCCCCCCCTTTTTTTAAATATAAAAATGCCACCTGGTCTGTGTGTTTTCATGTAGCCTATGTTTTGGAAAGTATCTGATTCCCCATTAAAATTTACACATTTTAACTTATGCAGGATCCCAACATATGTTTCCAACGCAATTAAAGTGTCCTCAAACGAAGAACTGTTCATTGCCACCGAGTAAAAACATTAAGATTATATGCCATTAAAATACGAATACCTAGGGAATACTTCTTTAAATTATAATTAACAACACGTAAGTAGCAGCAATATCAACAATGCAATTTCGCATTTCTGTTTCTCTAATTTCGTATAGTTATTAAATTTAATTCAAGGTAACATGTTTACACTTTCAACAGGCACGTTTCTGTATTAATGAAAAAATGGGTAAGTGGCAACTGAAAAAAAGTTCGAAGCTACCCCCCCCCCCCCCTCTACCCGCACGAAATAGATTTTCATGTTTGGACAATGGTCAAATTCTCCTCTTTTTTGTCAAGTTTTTTTTTTTTCAGGTTGAATTTTTTCTCTTTGAATTAGTCCCTTCTTTTTTCCAATTTGCTTCCGACGCTTTCCTGAATTTACAAGTTTACCATGCATCAACATTTGTACTAAGTCAATATCGGTTAGACTCAATATAAACCTTTTTTTTATTAATTTGTTTTCAATATTCCATTAAATTAATTGTTTACCATTATTCTATACACATCTCTTTTTTCCCCCGCTTTCGCGAAAGCGAGGGGACATTAAATCTCATTCGTATGTCCGTCAGTCTGTCAGTCTGTCCGTCACAAAAACTTTAACCTTGCCCATAACTTTTGAATTATTAGAGCTATGACTTACATATTTCACATGTGTGTTCCTTGTGACAAGACCTTTCTTTGGGTACCACCAAATTTGACCTTTTGACCTTGACCTTGGAGTTTGACCCACTTTTACACAGAAATTTCAAACTTTGACTTTGGCCATAACTTTTGAATGGAAGGTACTAGGACTTTAATATTTCACAAATTTATTGTTTGTGGCAAGACCTTACATTGGATATCAACAACCTTGACCTTTTGACCTTGACCTTGGAGATTTACGTACTTATGAAAAAACGTTAACTTGACCATAAGTTTTGAACGATTAAGACTAAGGCTTTCGTACTTCACATATGTAATCCTCTGAGAAGACCTGGATACCAAGAACTTTTACCCTTTGACCTTGACCTTGGAGTTTTAACTACTTTTTAAAAACATTAACCTTGGTCACAACTTTTAAAAGTAGAGACTATGACTTTTATATTTCACATATGTATTCCTTGTGGCAAGACATTTCATTGGATACAAACAACCTTGACCTTTTGACCTTGGAGATTTACATACTTATGAAAAAACTTTAACCTTGACCATAACTTTTGAACGGTGAGGGCTAGGGCTTTCGTACTTCACATATGTAATCTTTTTGGGAAGACCTTTCATTGGATACCAGCAACTTTGACCCTTTGACCTTGACATTGGAGTTTTAACTACTTTAAAAAAAACTTTAACTTTGGTCACAACTTTTGAACGGTAGATATTAAGACTTTTATGTTTCATATATGTATTCTTTGTGGCAAGTCTTTTCATTGGATATCAACAACTTTGACCTTTTGACCTTGACCTTAAAGATTAACGTACTTATGTAAAAACTTTAACCTTGACCACAACTTTTGAACGGTAAGGGCTAGGGCTTTCATACTTCACATATGTAATCCTTATGAGAAAACCTTTCATCAACAACTTTGACCCTTTGATCTTGACCTATGAGTTTACCTACTTTTAAAAAACGTTAACGTTGGCCATAACTTTTTAACGGTCAGGATAAGGGATTTTATCCTTCAGAAAAAATCAACTTCAATGATAATTTCTATGAAATGGTATATGATAGGACGTTCATATTAGACACAATATGTCATAAAAAATAACATCTCACCAACAAAGACACCGACAGCGGGGGACCACAATTCTTTGAATTTGCTTGTTATACTTGTTTTTTAATCATAACTTTTCCACAAACGTTACAACCCTATTGCGCTTCCGTACTTCTTTGCGTCAACCAAAGATCAAACATTTAAGCAAATATCGTGGGTTTCTAAAGAACATTATTTTTAACTTATGTACAAGAATGGAAAGCTAAGACCCTAACGAATATAATTTGGATATCTATATATATTTTATATGCTTCAAAAAAACATATTTGACTGTAAATCTTGAAACCTTCGCTAAAAAGGCACGATTTACACGTGGATTTCAGCGTCTTATTCTCACACGCAGCAGTGATTGTCTTAAATTTCTGGCCAATATTGTCAGTTTTTTGTAGTAAATTAACACTTCAATGCAGCTTTTTCCCGGATTTTCATTACGCACGAGATTTTTGATTATTTTATAACGAAAACAACAAAATTCCCGTTTATGGTAATGTTTTTTCTTTCGCTAAAGAGGGATAATCGCGCTTTAGTTAGATGATCTCGCTAAAGGGGATATGTTCCCAACCTGTTAAATAGGTGTCAATGTTCATGGGTTAGCTGCAGATCTGTAGCGTTATGGTTTTATATACTTGTCTTTGACCATAACACTACAGAGCCCGTAATGCAAAAAAGTAGCAATTTATGGGGCGATATTTTTTGCGCATTTTTGGGAGAATTTCTCCACTTTCCAGCATCGGTCAATAAACTACCTTTCACTCCCTAATTCTAGACACATTATTTAATTAATCTATATATTTTTTTCCATCTACCTATCTTTTACAGTCGTCTCTACAAGTGATCACTTGACAAAATTATATGTTAGATAGCTAAAAATTCACTTCAAGAGAGTTTATTGCCTATAGCGATAACTATAGATGGTTGAGAGGTGGATAAAATGTAAATATTGGCTACAGAATGTGTCTAGAATTAGGGAGTGAAATGTAGTTGATTAACCAATGCTAGAAAGTGGAGAAATTCTCCCCAAAAGCACGCAAAAAATATTTCGCCGTAAATTGCACCTTTTTTCTTCATAACGGGATCTGTAGCGTTATGGTCAAAGACAAGTATATAAAACCATAACGCTACAGTTCTGCCGCTATTTATGGGTAAGCAAAATTTTGTTGGTTCTTTGGGACATGATTGCGTAGGTAACTTGTAAATACATCTATGAATCAGTGAAAAAAAAACACCACTGCACTACCTAATACTATAATTTGTTAGTGCCTGTATTTTTGAGTGGGGCATCAGTCCTCAAATATGTCTTCTACATAAGACCTTTGGTCTGATATAAATTAGTCTTTCATGTAGAATATCCTGCTGACTAAGATTTATAATTTGACAGTGACCAGTCAGTATTTCCACTAATTGACTTGATTTATAATTAAACAGTATACTGTCAGTATTACAGCTGAATGACCTAGATTTATAATTTGACAGTGAACAGTCCGTATTACAGCTTATTGACCTAGATTTATAATTTGATAGTGACAAGCTGGTGGTGGGGCAATAAAAGAGTGGACTATGTCCTGTATTGCCCTGAGGACTGCCATACATTTCCAATTTCTGCCCTTCCACATTTCTTCCATGCCAGCTTCTGGGAATCTTCTGATGTTACTTCCTTTATCCTTCGTCAGGTAAGTTTAATACCTGTAAAGTAAAATAGATTTTAAAGCTTTGAATGATAAAGTAAGCTATTGGATACTATAAAATAGCAAATTTAACATTATTCTCACAGCATCTATTGCCCTCCAGATTCACTTACATGTAAATGGAATAGAAATCCTAAAAGTTTATTTATTCTGATAATTTATCAGGTGCTGCGGTACGATTCATCACTGTGTGAGAACAAAGGTGATTATTTAGATCCACAGTCAAGTCTGATTGGGAACTCTGCATGTGAAAAATGGCTAAAACGCACAACAGCCATAAAGGTCAAGGTAGGTTATAGAAAGGGCATAAAGGTCAAGGTAGATTATAAGGACAAAAGAAATCAAGGTAGATGGAAAAAAACCCTTGTTTTAGATATATTGTTAAATTAGTGAATGTTATTTAAGATATAAAGCAAAAAGATGAAAATCAGTTAGAAAGGTTTCATTTCAGTCTCTTGTTAAAATAAATGTTGTTTTCTTATACCTTAATAATTTAATTCTGTTTGTATTCTTGTCTCTCATTGGTTGATTTCCAAAAAGGAACGCATAACATTTTGTATAATCTGGTTTGGTATGGGGACACACCCCCTTGACAACCAGCTGAATCATCTGTATCCATCAATCCCCTCATTTCCAGTCCTTCGGATTCATGAAAAATTCCAGATTTAATGAATGTACCTTTAACTTCAAACAGTTGCTCGATCTTACCTCATGTAAACAAGCATCATGGCTGCTAGATCTATGTATCAGTTTTTACCTCCCCTTGCTTCCCATCACTTCCGTTACTACGGTTGTATTATTGCGCGGTAAATTTGAACTAATAAAAACAACACAATTTTACATCCCCAGTTGTTTAATTATTTTAAAATTAAATTTCGGATTATAAAAAAGCGTAAACTGACCCAAACCATATTATACTCGATAATCTGGCCAAGAATTAGAGTCATTCCTTAAATAATGTTATAATCTAGGACACCAACAAAATATCCAAATGGAAGAATTTAAGTAATAAACAGCTCTTCTCAAGCAGTGTTTACATTTACAGAATTTACATCCAAATCACAGAGGAAATGATGTCATGGTGCTGGAGGATAAACCACAAGTTATCACGGCAAGGTTCGAATTCATGTACGGGCCATTGGATGTCACGTCATTGTCAGGCGAGAAAGTAAGATTCATTATTTGGAGAAATACCTTTACATAACTTTTATTTTGACTCGGGCATCAAAAAGACTTAAATCTATCCATCTATCGTTGTGAACTATCAGCTAAATCTTTAAAATAATGATTAAAAATACCTCAAATCATTCAACCTTAATGTGATTTAGGTTTAATTTTTGAATAGTAATTTAATTGCAATATCCACTGGAAACATAGTCAGGGACAGACATTCTATTCAATGAATATTACTATCAAAATATTAATCTAAGGTGCCTGAGTATGAAGACATGTGATTTTATTGTATTGATATAAGATAGATTGAGAAAGATGAATCTTTCTGACAGGTTGATGTTCATGTGATGGATCAACTCAACGGAGAATGGCAGTACATGGGAACTGATGTAACAGATAACAATGGAAAACTTCAGTTTACAATTCCAGCCAGTAAAAGTCTCCCACAGGGGATGCATCCAGTCAAAGTAGTGGTCAGGTACTGCAATAGTAGAAATATGAAAAAAGGCATTTTTTAAATTTTAATTTGATTTACTGTTGAATCAATATATATTTGTTTGAGATCAATATCTGTTGGTAACTCTCCACCAGGATTATTCAATTGAAAAATCTTGAGCTATATACATTTGCTTCCTTTTATATTACACATTATTTGCCCACAAAATAGTTTTCCCAGACGTAAATTATAAGCAAATATTCTAAGATTGGCTGCTATAAATGTGTTTTGATGGTATCCATTAAAGGTACTTGGACACAGATTTGAAGTTAATATTTTCTCATTTTTTCTGTATAATATCACGAATTATATATTCAAATAGCATTTCACACAAAAATTAATTAAAAAATCTTTTTCATTTAAAAGTTATTAAAACTTTAATTTTTTGGCGGGTTTGATTGACACATCCTTGCACTTTAGATTTTCTATTAAAGAATACAAGCCGTAAAATTATTGAGAAAATAATAACTTTGTCTGTGTCCAAGTACCTTTAAGACATAGACAGCTTCACTCACCCATGCTGTCACATTGTCAAACATATGAGGAAAAAATTGTAAATTTGCAGAATTTATACACCCAATTACACGTCTTATTGATTTTTTAAGGGGTGACCACAGTTCAGCCGACTTTTACCTGTGTGTCCTTCCCCCTAAAACAGAGACAATTGTATTCAGTATTGATGGCTCCTTCACGGCCAGTAGGTCAATCTCGGGGAAGAATCCAAGACTTAGACCAGGGGCTGTGGATGTTGTCAGGTTAGTGTAGAGATAACAGATCATTATCTCAGGGAAGGATCCAAAAGTCAGACCAGGGGCGGTGGATGTTGTCAGGTTAGTGTAGAGATAACAGATCATTATCTCAGGGAAGGATCCAAAAGTCAGACCAGGGGCGGTGGATGTTGTCAGGTTAGTGTAGAGATAATAGATCGTTATCTCAGGGAAGAATCCAAAAGTTTGACCAGAGAGTGGATGTTGTCAGGTTAGTGTAAAGATTATAGATCATTATCTCAGGGAAGGATCCAAAAGTTTGACCAGGAAGTGGATGTTGTCATAATAGATCATTATCTCAAAGAAGGATCCAAGAGTTAGACCAGGGGTGGTGGATGTTGTCAGGTTAGTGTAGAGATATGATTAATAGCTTGTTATATTTTGGAGTCTTGCATGAACACAGAAGATATGATTAGCACTGCCAGGTAAGGCCATGCAAAGTTAATTCCTTGGTTCTCAGACCTTTTTTCAAGAAATATGATGAGGGAGTGAGGTTTTTTTTTTTTTTTTACTTTTTTTGGCCCCCAAAACATGATGAGGCAGCTTTTTACATTGTACAAAACCTTAAAAATGATAAGGGAGGTGATTTGTTGTCTTTATTTTATTGATTTAGCAATAAAAAGGGTCAATGAGGCACCCTTGGAAGAGATTAGGGAGGGCCTGAGAACCAAGAAATTAATTTTTTTTTGCCTAACAAGAAAATTGACCCAATAAAAGCAGTCCCAATGCTAAATTAGAACATTTTGATAAAGGTAGTGCTTGCTATTTGCTATCTGTAATAGTAGGCAACTAAAAGCAAGTTTTTCTGTAGGATTTAGGAAGCTAAATGAAAGTATTTGAAAAAAAAAGATTTTTTTATTCTCCATTTATGACAAAATTTTTAAGTCTTTTAGTTAATGTAGCTTTTATGTTTATTAGCAGTCACTGGCTGTTATTTTTATGAAAGGAACCCTATATAAGGCTTATATTTGCAGACACTGGCAGGAGCATGGCTACCTGATCCTGTACGTAACAGCTCGTCCAGACATGCAACATAAAAATGTTGTCTCCTGGCTTGCAATGCATAACTTTCCCCATGGAATGGTAGCATTCAATGATGGTCTATCAAAGGAACCTATGGAACAGAAACTAGCTTACCTCAAATCCCTCCAATCCGAGGTAAGTGTACATAAGTACAGGAGGGGGTCGGCCAGGATTATGGCAGAGGATTATGTTAGAGAGTTTTTCTAGCTGCATTAAGGTGATTTGTTGGATAAGGACCTATTATTTTGTCGGAAAATATGGCTTTTACAGTGTACCTAGTTTAATCCAGTGGACATATTCATTGAGTACTAATTAACGATAAACATGCATTTAGTCTTGCAAGTTGGTAGCTTGTACATGTATATAAATTGTCATCTTAAATACAACCCTTTTTTGTAGGCTCAGTTGCTGTTTAAGGCAGGTTATGGCTCAAACAAGGATATCTATGTGTACAAGGAGCTAGGCCTCACTCCCCAACAGATATATATAGTAGGAAAGTCCTCCAAAAAACACATGGCCCATGCTCAGGTAAGGAAATCAAATCTAAATATAATTTCTGATCAAGATAGTCTGATATTTGGAGTGTTGTAAAAGAAGTGATAATACATTTAGTTAAACCCTTTATGTCAATCTCATGTACCAGTATTTATTATCATACTTTTTTATGCAGAACAATTTGATAAGCTTTATTTATATACAGGGCCTGAGTGAGGGATACGCCGCCCACCTGAGTGACCTTCGTGCACCGGGAACCACCAGACAGGCGATGGGCAATGCAAGACTCTTCATCCAGAAGGGAGTATTTACCAAAACATTCAAGTCGGAAGGTAAAAAATCTGTGAAGAGGATTTCTTCTAACCCGACCCCAGCAGGAGATTTTGTAAATAAACATGATGGACATTTACATACAACAATATCAGTAGCGCCAGAGGGACACACCATCATACAGCAAGGTGGCGCCACCAGTACCAGAGCACGGGAACGTCTCCAAAGGCAAACATGACACTTAAAGATGTTCCTAGATAATGAATGTTACACAAGTTAATCTCTTTTATATGCTTCCATAATATTGATATAGTATATTTTGTGATAACGAAGTTAATGTCATTTTTGTTATTGTGTAAAGATTAGCCAATCTTGAATTTTTTACCTTTAGAGAGAAAATGCCCAATAGCTTAGAATAATAAAATACCAGGAAAATTGAAAAAAAAATTCAAGAAAGAGCTTTACGTTTTATTTATGAAGATTTGGAGAGTAGTTATGAGTCATTACTACATAAGGCGAAATTACCATCATTAGAGATTGGAAGGATGCGTAGCATGGCTCTGGAATGTTTTAAGATTTTACATGACCTTTCTCCTAGATGTTGAGATTGAATACTGTTCGTTATTTCCATATCCTTCTGTCAGACTTAGTGAGTTTTAAGAAAATGACATACAGTTTTAGATATTCAAATATTTTAGAAATACCAAAAGTGAGAACTACATCATATGGCAAAATGTCTTTTAGATATGCAGCACCAATTTTATGGAACTCCTTACCTGAACATTTTAAATGTCAAACCAATTTTTTACAGTTTAAATCTATGATTGCCTCTTGGAGCGGCAAGGACTGTGAGAGTACAGCCTGCTCCACTAGGTAAGATGTGTCCTTTTGTTTGTGTGTCTGTGCATGTGTGTCAATTTTTCCTTGCTTTTCCTTTTTTTTTTTTGTTAAGTTCTTTTCATGTTTCTGTCGATGTACTGCTTGCATGTATGTAATGGTGTGACATATATGTATACCTGTTGCCTTCTTTTTCTCTGTGCTGAATTGTTTATGTGTCTGTACATGTGTGTTTTTATATGTATCTTTAACTGATGGTGTCCTTTAAATTAGACTGTGTGCTGCATTGTTGCAAGTAATTCTATATTTATATAGTGCTGCATGTTTTCATTTTTTTTAATGTTATGTATATGTTAAGCATATCAGTCAAAAGCTCATTGGAGCTTGTGTAACTTTTTAACTACCATACTGACTTTAAATAAAGCTGTTTTTGTCATTTTTAGTTGATACCATTGTAGAAAAAGGTTTTACCAGAAAGAGTAATAAAATAAATGTATAGCTAGAAGAACAAGGTGCTTATAAGATGTTCAGGAAGTCCAGAGAGTCGAGACATTTACACACAAATTTTCCTTTGGGCAGAAAACATACTTCCTATTTTTCCCTCTCAGTATTACCTATTCTTTTATAGTCCTATATAGCCTCTTTTTTTTCAGGCTCCCTTTTGTTACTTATTTTAAAATATACAGTCATATATATACATTTAATTTTTAGTTTATTGACTATACATGTCTTGCTGAATTTGGAAGACTGAACATGAAAGTGAAGTCTTTGTCATTTTAGGCCTTGCAGTCTATATTTGTTTTAGAACAGGCTGTGATGCACATGTACTTTTGATTGATAGCATAATTTCAGCAAATATTTGACACAAATACTTATTTCTAATAAGATACATTTTTACATGTATTTACTTTTCAAAATATGTTTGAGAAATATTTTGATTTTTTTGCCTGGATATGAGATAATCATTTTTCCCTCATAAGGAACAGTGTTAGAAATTCTCTGTTTCAATCACTTTTATTATTTACATGCTAGGCTATATGTAATTAAACAGTAAAAGAGAGGATTTATTATTTTTTATGTAAATGATTGAAATGTTATTATTTCTGTCATATGTTTGTAAACATTTCCTTTTTTTCAACATAAGACTAATTCACAGTTTAAAATCTAATCATTGTGCAAAATGTAACACAATTGGATCATACCGTACATATAAATAAACTATGTATTACCTTTTTAATATATGTTGTGTTTCGTATATTTGATTAGTAAGGACATAAGTGTATAAAGCATAATAATCCTTATATGTCATTGAGAGCCATTTAGGTTCTTACGCTCATTATTTCTATTTACTAATTATGTGTTAATATAGTCAATATTGTTGTAAATATTAATATGAAATATTATTGGTCAGTGTTGATGATTTATCACAATTAAATCAAATATCAATATCTTAGCATTTACGTGGTCAGTATCCATGATTGCTATTTAATAAATAATTGAATTGGAAATGACTTAATAATATTAACTGACCACAATCAGTGTTTTAATAGGACGCTTGATTAAAATCTACAACTAAATTGAACGGAACAATTTCATTAATGACTTAGAAACTTTCCAATAACTAATACCAGGATCTGACGATTGGAAATATGAAGATATATATTCTAAGACTGGATAGGCGAGGGACAGAACAAGAACTTAAGACAAACGTTTCACATGTACCCCCTTGTACTAGTTTGGCTTCCAGTGGATACACCAAGTACTAACTCTGATATAAGAACTGTAACTGTGCTGATAACATTGTTTTTACTGTATATGCATGATGTCTATATTGTGCAACAGTGACATATATATATATATATATATATATATATATATATATATATATATATATATATATATATATATATATATATATATATATAAACAAATAAAAAGCATTGTGTTATAAACGTTCATTTGGTGCCGTGACCAGGATTTGGTTTTGGTTTCGAACGGGTGACCACTGGAATTTGAAAACTGCAACTTCTTCTTTGATCTATAAGTATTTATTTTCTCTGCCATAATCTCTTGTAAAAATGTCTGTGCAAGAATTTATAACTGTTGTAAAGGGTCTTTCAATGAAGATGGACACTTTAAATCAAAATTTGGGTGCTAATCAAATTACACCTTTTGATGGGGACCCAAAATTATTTAAGAGATCAATTAAAGCGATTGAAAAACATGCTTTTCTAGAGGGTGTTCCTGCTGAAAATGTAAAAATGATAGCTTTCAAAACTAGTACAGGGGCGGTCAGTGATTTTATTCAAAGGTATTTCAAAACCAATCAGAGGGTAGAATGGGATACCCTGAAAGCAGAATTCTCCATGAGATTTGAAAATGTACAGATCTTTGCTGAAAGTTGCTCTCCATAGCAGAGGAAGCATATATCAAGGTGCTCAAGATATGCAAGTCAGAGAAAACCAACTTGTTGGATTCTTTGTCGATGGTCTGTATTCAGACAGATTAAAAATAAAGGTCATGCGAGATAATCCTGCTACTATGCAGGATGCAATTAATTTTGCCCGAGCCGAATTTGATTTACAACAAAGGTTTCAGTTAAGAACTGGGAGAAACTATTTTGGCCCCGGCAACCTTCACGGAAGAACCAATGGAGGTTGACCATTATAGATAAAAGAGGCGAAACAGACATAACGAGGGACAAAGACCAAGTCAGTTTGTCAGGAAGACATTCATCCCAAAAAAAGTTTCAGCAGTTGAGACAAAACGACCTCGTAGTGAAATTGTATGTTGGGCCTGTCACAAAAGAGGACACTATAGTCCTGAATGTCCGAATAAAAAGAGAAAAAATGAAGTCATTAATGCCCTACGAGCAGAGGCTGAAGAAGAAAATTTGGAAGAGTTTAACTAGGAAGCTCCGCCCAAAATGGGACCTTTGGGGGGAGCTATTTAAAGAAAACGAAAATTTCTGATAATGTTAAAAATCTCCCCACTATGACTGTTAATTCAATAGAAATTCCGAATTCATGTATTATAAAAACTGGGAAAAGAAGATTTATACCTCTAATAGATACAGGCGCCGCTGTTTCATTGGTTAGTTCAAATGCTTATTGGTCCTTTTCTAATCCTTTTAAACTTTCAAAACCAAAAGTGAATTTGAAATCTGTCAATGGTGCTGATTTGAAAATTGAAGGTTGTACTCAAATTGATTTTGTTGTAGGAGGCCTCATCAATTTTATGTTGTTCAAAATATAAACAGGTCTTTTATTTTGGGTAGAGACTGGTTAGTCCAAAATGGTGTCAAACTTTATTTTGATCTTGGCAGATTACGTATTTGTAAAAACTATGTTCCAATGATTGAAGATGTTCACATTGCATCAATTTTGAGACCGTAATCAGCGACAAGCTTGTTTTGCAAAACATAAAGATCACGCAAATTTTCAAAACAAAGTTGTTGAAGTAAATGCATTTGATAAAGGTTTCATTAGTGACGAACCAGGTCTTATGATAGGGAATATAATTGCAAAAACAAAATCATCGCGTAAAATACCAGTTTTAGTTGTGAACAATACCAATAAAACTTACAAACTCAGGAGAGGGTGCATTATCGCTCGAATAAATGTTATAGATGATCAGGTGATTAACATCTCGGTTCCTGATTAAAATAAAGAAAAAGACAAAGAAATAAATGACTTGAAAGCGGAACACAATGTTTCCCCAGAGCACAGAGGAATGATTGAAAAACTTTGCATGCAAAATCAAGATATATTAGCTAAAACAGATGCAGACCTAGGGCATACTAATACGATTAAAATGAAAATAGATGCAGGTGACCATTTACCAATTAAAATGAAACCGTATCGAACTCCGTTGAATAAACGAGTGATCGTAGATAAAGCAATTGAGGAAATGTTAAGCGCAAACATAGTGCGGCGTTCAAAATCACCTTGGTGTTTTCCTATCGTGGTGGTAGATAAGAAAGATTGAACAAAATGTTTTTGTGTAGACTTTAGACAACTAAATAAGATCACAAAAACAAATTCGTGGCCCTTGCCCTTGATTGACGATTTATGAGATCACTTAGGAAAAACAAAATATTTTACATCATTGGATTTGAAGTCGGGTTATTGACAAGTACTTATGGATAAAGCAGATAAAGAGAAATCAGCTTTTGTGTGTCATAGAGGTTTATTTGAGTTTAATGTAATGCCTTTTGGCCTTTGCAATGTTCCACAAATATTTTCAGAACTCATGAGCACAGTGCTAGAATCATAGACTATATTTTGATCTTTTCAGAAACCATTCAAGACCATGAAAAACATATTCAATTTGTATTTGAACGACGTAAAGAACCGGGTTAAAATTAAAAGCCAAAAAGTGCAGTTTTGTTCAAGAGAAAACTCAGTATTTAGGATTCATAATTGATAAAGAAGGAATAAGATCTGATCCAAATAAAGTAGCTGCACTTCGTACTTTACCTTCACCGAGTACTGTGAAAGAAAAACGCAGTTTTATCAGCAGTTATTACCGTCGATTCATACCAAACTTTTCAAAGATTGCAGAACCCTTGATATCATT